TGTACATCAGAAAATGCGCCTTGAGGCATGGAACATATGTACCAAATATGCCAAAGATGTCTACAAAATTATCTCAGTTATTATTAAAAAACTGATTATTTTTGAAAACTTTGCCACCCTGTATCTCAAAAGTTAAGGCGATAAGGACATACGTCCATAGGACGTTTTTTCCTTAAAATGGGTCTAAGAATTACCTCCTTAAATATTAGCATGTGTTTAAGGAACACCCTATATAGGCCACGAACCAGCTGTGGGGGTTCTCAAGTCTCTGGTATGAAACCAGATCGGAAAGTGGGTCTATAAGAAACATAAAGAGTGTTTTGGTTGGTTTCCGGGTTTTGCTGTGGTCTTCTCTGGTTATAATCCTCGAATGTTTCAATTGCAACTGCTGCACTCATCTTTAGTAGCGTAAACGAAGTACTCTTATTGACATGTCAACTGACTTTTCTTGACATTTCAGTTGACATATCAAGAAGACTACTTCGACCACGTCAATGAAGATGACCGCCGCAGTTGCAGTTGGAACGTTTGGATATTACAACCAAAGAAGACCACGGCAAAACCCGGAAACCAACCAAAACATTGACGCCAGCCATGAATCCCTACATTTCTAAATTAACTTATGTGTTCTAGCTCTAGCATATTAACCCTATATCAAAAAATAGAATGCCACTCACTTATTTCAGAATAATACCGTGTTCCTCTAAAACATTTACTTGAAGTTTCTAGCGAGTCATGGTTAATGTCATGATGCAAGTTTACACTTCACATTAAACTACACATATTGAATAATGAAGGTCTAATAGGTGAATTAGTTGTTGGTATAGAATTGAAAAATACGATTTCTCTTCGTGACTGCAATGGTGGTACTTTAAAAAAATGATATACTGAACACGAAAGTAGTTCATGTATATTCTTTTGGCGATACAACTGCCGAAATCGATTTTCAATTATTGGAACATACTAACAGACCGATTTCGGGTTATTTGGCCTCACGTCAGTGCAAGGTAGTGTCATACATCAACACGTAGTAATGATTTCTCATAATTAAAAATTGAAGTATTTCGGAGTGTCATACCTCGAACAAAGCTGAAACGAACGACAAGCAACATATCTGTCATTGCCATCTCTACCGTAGACGAAGTACTAACCAACCGCATATCCAAGTGACCAAATCCTCGTATAAGGAAATACATTTCACCTATATTTTTAAATCTGTTTCAAAATCTGTTTTTCCGTTAACCAGCTATCGCACTTCCTACGAACGACAACCCTCAGAAATCGAAGCTTGTGCGAGCTAAGAATTAACGAGGTCTTACCTTTTAAGGTGTGATTCCTTACACGGGTTGGACGGTAGCAAGTGAAAATCGATCGTTCAGACAGTATGGCTACCGGCATACTTGAAGTCTGCCTATAAATCAAATCATCTAAAGGAACAATTCGTTCAGCTATAACAATTTCAATTATTAAATATAAATATTATANNNNTATATATATTTCAATATTAAATTCTACAAAAAGGATTTGAAGCTTTATATCTTCTATTAATTATCTGCGAGCGCTTTCGACAGTTGGTAGTACTGTCATCTTCTAGGCACTCCTCAAACTGAACTTGTCATCCTGTCGTCTGCCTCCTTATATGGTCAGAGCGTCTCAACTCAGGTATTTCAGGTACTTTAGGTAAATTTGCCTGAATTTGTACTGCATCAGGTACTCTTCTTCGTGTTAGATCTTCTCTAGGAATCTGTATGGTTTTGTTCAATATATTGAATGTGTATATTGTATGCATTGTGTGTATATTGTATAATATGTATATTGTTGTGTTTTGTTTTGTACTTGTTCCTCGATAAGTGATTTATGACTGTTAAATTTATGGATGTTCAAGTTTTTCCAGATGTCCATGCGGTTTCCCTTTGGACATTTGGGAAAACAACCGCAACTGCTCACGAAGAGTATCCAACAAGAACTCCAAGAATTCAGAACAATCTTCTTGTTGTTCTAACGAGTATCTAGTGAACTTCAAAGACTCCAGGAAATCGGTTGGTGGAAAAGATGATACATTCTTACGAAACGGTAACTGCATGAACAATTGTTTGAGTTTGGTGAATGGGTAGGGAATATTCTCGTTCTAGTTCATCGTTAAAACCTCCTCGTTCTTGAAACTCATGAAACAACACTTATAAAATGCTGTTCATGTAGCAAGTGTTTTCTAAATTATCTAATCCAATGTTTCAGGGCGAGATTCGTAAGGAAGAACATGTTTCACACAATCTGCATCAGAACCATTTCTCAAGCTGCAATCGATCTTTCCAAGTGATGAAGGGTTTCATTGGTGAAATTTCTCTGATAACATAAAAACAAAGATGGTGGCATTTACCCCATTGCTGTTGGTACCATTTTTCATCGCCTTGTAGCGAAATTATCTTGGATTGATGTTTC